GCGCTTCACTTTCAGATATCTCAAGCCTCTAGTCGCAGCCGATTCAGGTTAATACAGCAATTTAATGTTCCCATTGCTGTCTGTGTAGCAACTATTGTAAGAGAGGAGGGCAATACCAAACACTTACACAGCATTCCTGCAATAAATTATTTATTGTAACCCTCATGTACCAGAAAAAGATTGCAGGGGGAAATGGGGTAATAAGAATGCTGTTTTCTCTATTGTTCTACATCTCTATTGCTGAAGCAGTAGTAAGCGTGGGCAGGATTTTTCTGAAATGGGAACACAGAAGGAAACAATGCCATTTTGCATTTTGGAGTGTAGCTCATAGCGGAAAGAAAACTTGCTCCCACCTTTCCCCCTATAATATTCATATTTCTGGATTGTGATGTCAAATATCCTTCAGTTACTCTCTCTGTGGATTTGGAAACGGTGTCCGATACAATATTTGATTTCAATGCATCATTTACAACTCTTGATTTGTGTCAACACTGTATCGCTGATGTGCGATGCTATTTGGGAACATGGCTAACTCAGGGATATAGGGGATGACATGATTTCCCTCGCTCTGTTCTTTTGTTGTTCCTCTGGTTTACTCTACTGTGTGTTCACTCCTCCTGAATTATGGTTTAACAAGGAAACATGGGAGGCAGGTGGCTCTGTGGTCTAAACCACTGAGCCTCTTGGGCTTGCTGATCAGAAGGTCAGCAGTTCAAATCTCCATGACAGGGTGAGCTCCCCTTGCTCAGTCCCAGCTCCTGCCAACCTAGCAGTTTGAAAGCACACCAGTGCAAGTAGATAAATAGGTACCACTGCAGAGGGAAGGTAAATGGTGTTTCTGTGTGCACTGGTTTCCGTCATGGTGTCCCATTGCGCCAGAAGTGGTTTAGTCATGCTGGCCACATGACCCGGAAAGCTGGATGAACGCTCCCTCAGCCTGAAAGTGAGATGAGCACCGCAACCCTATAGTTGCCTTTCACTGGACTTACCTTTACCTTTACCTTTAACAAGGAGGTACTGGAACAGTTCTCCACAGCTTTCAGCTCCCTCATTTCATTTGCACCCAGGGAGGAGGCAAAAGCAGGAGTTGTTCATCCCCCTGAATGATCCAGTCCCCTGACTAAATATGCCCAAAGCAATATCCACACAATACATTTGTAAGAGATTACAAGTGTCAGAGCAATCTGAATCCCGAATCCAGGTCCATCCCCTGTTGTTGGCTGTTGGAGTCTCTGCCACTTTGAAGGCACCTGTCAGGGACTGGGCAGAGGAGGAATGGTAGAGACCACCTCCCCAGCCTGACCCTTCCAGAGAAGAAGAAGAAGACAGTTCAGAATTACATCAGGGGTTTGAGGGGGTCACAGCTCAGAGGAAGATGAGGGGGAAAGTTGGGAAATCATGGGAGAGGAGGTGTAGCAGCTGGCTGACACGTTGTCACTAGAAAGCATTCCAGACCCACCATCTCACAGCACCCGGTGAGCCTTAAAAGTAGGAGGGCAAATGGCTCAGAAGCAAAGGACCCTCAGCAACACCTGTAGAAGAGAGGACGAATGAATGAATGAATGAATGAGGAAGTGGGAGAGAAGGGGATTGGAGTTTAAGCCATTATTCCAAGAGGCTGCATTCCCAAGCCTCTCTCTGTAAATACTGAATAAAAAGCAGATGGTAAGGACTTTTCCTCGTCTTATCCATTCCTGGCAAACTGTCGTGGGGTTTGGTTCCCCTGCCACCTGACAGCACCTAACATAGCAGAAAAGCATGGCAGGATGCTGGTGGTTTTCATATGAAGTATCTTCCAGGTACATGTTTTTGTTTGTTTCTTTGTTTGCCTACATGCAGTATTTTCTCCCCAAGAAAAATAGGTGCAGGAATTCACAATGAAGATGTTACAGTAAGTCACTGGGCGAATTGGGGCAGCCCTGAAAAGATGCTGCTTTGACAACTACCACATTCGCCACCTGCAGAGTTGCTGAAAATGACAGCAAGCTGTCTCCCTAGCTGTTTTGGGGGGTCGCCCTTGGTTCTGGTGCAGGTCAGATAAGTGGGCCCCCATCACCCTCGTTCTCTTAATTTCAGGCAGATGGCTAGGGCAGCTCACAAGGGCCCTTGTACAAATGCACATGCGTGCAATGGTAGAGACCTGATTGGAAAGCTTAAAGCCTGCCGCTGCTACACAGGAGAGGGATTGAAGTAAAAGAAATGCAAATTAATAAACTACTAGGTTATATTGAATTGGCCAGACTAGCAGAGGCAATCAGGAACCACCCCAGACAAGAATTTCAAAAAGAATGCGGGAAATGTAGAGAATATTTTATCAAGCAGTGCCCCCAAATAACCACCCGGACTTGTTTCGATTAATTCCCACAGGAGGATTTATGGTTCTTAAGTTACAATTTGAGATAGCCAATAATCATTATCTATACGGGAAACAGTTTATAAGAAATAAATAAGGAAGCAGTGTACAGGATAAAGGAAGTCTTTTATTTCTTTTTATGTTTTTTCTTTGTTGTAAGTGTATTGTTGTTAAGTTTGTGGAACGCCCTCCCACCAGATGTCAAAGAGAAAAATAACTACCAAACTTTTAGAAGACATCTGAAGGCAGCCCTGTTTTAATGTTTAATAGGTTATTGTATTTTAGTGTTTTGTTGGAAGCCACCCAGAGTGGCTGGGGAAACCAGCCAGATGGGCGGGGTAGAAATAATAAATTATTATTATTGTTATTGTTATTGTCTCGTTTTAGATGTTATGGTGGTGGTTTTATCTGTTTTAGTTGTTGTAGTAGATTTGTGTTGTAAATAACTTCAACAAAATTCAAAATAAAATAAAAAGAAATGCAAATTGGCACCGCCTTGTAGCTTGACCAATCATGGCTAGGAGCAGCTAGGTACTAGATAGAGTCCTAGATCTAGAAAAATGTAGACTCTCGCATGCTGGCCAGCTTCTGTTTTGACTTGAAATGTTCGTTTAGGGCTTCTCAGAAGGACGTAAAGGCAGGAAGCGGGTGGAGAGAGCGACGGCTCGCAATGACACACAGCAGAGAGGTGCAGAAACTGGGCTCTGGCATGCTTCGGCTGGGAAAAAAAGCACTGCATACATGTGTTTGTTGGGATACTGCCAGGGAGACAGAGGCATCAGGCAGCCTCCACGTCATCTCTGGATGATCTCCCGGTCTCCCGTAGAACAGCATCAGTCAATTAGCGGCACGAGCCTCAGACACATTCCGAGACTCATGCACTCCCTTTCTGCAGAGTTTCCACAACGGAAGATGCACCCAGAAGAGCATATTTACAGCTTTAGTCAACGTTGATCAGAACAAAGGAAAAACATGACTGCTTGCATCCGTGTCCAGGAAACAGCCAGAACAAAAGCTATATACAAAACAGAAACGCCCAGTGAGCAGGAAGTAAACAGGCATGTGACACATAACAGCCTGTTGCCTTTTAAGGTGGAACGGAAACTATATCCTAACATCCTCCCCCTTTCCGTGTAACCTGTAGTTCCTGCGGTTCAACCCAATTGCAACCTCTGTACATAAACCTTAAGTTGTTCTCTGTTAACAACCTTAGACAACAGATCTGCAGGAATTTCATTTCCTGGCATGTAGGACACCTGAAAGAGTCCTTTCTGAATATACTTTCTTGCACGATGTAACAAAAGCTATATACAAAACGGAAAGTCCCAGTGAGCAGGAAGTAAACAGGCATGTGACACACAACAGTCTGTTCTCTTTTAAGGTGGAAAGAGAACTACCGTATTTTTCGCTCTATAAGACGCACCTGACCACAAAAAGCACCTAGTTTTGGGAGGAGGAAAACAAGAAAAAAAATATTCTGAATCTCAGAAGCCAGAACAGCAAGAGGGATCGCTACGCAGTGAAAGCAGCAATCCCTCTTGCTGTTCTGGCTTCTGGGATAGCTGCGCAGCCTGCATTCACTCCATAAGACGCACACACATTTCCCCTTACTTTTTAGGAGGGAAAAGGTGAGTCTTATAGAGCAAAAAATACAGTATATCCTAACAGTGTTGCCCCCCTCAAACATTACAGAACCGATGTGGTTACCTTGCTGTAGAAATACCACCTTCTCATCTTCTCTTGTGAGGCATGAAGCAGCCCTGATCTACACAGACGTGCAGCACACTGTGCAGAACCAATTTGGAGATGGTCATTTAAAATGTCCTTTAATGATGCGGCCAGTGTGAAGCAGTTTTATACAGCTTTGATTTCAGTAGCCGAGACTGAAGCACTCCTTACGTTTCCCACTGATGAGATTTTATCATACATAACTTTAATCGGATCTTGCCACGTATTTGAGTAAAGGGCAACTCTGCCAGGGTTTTCAGTTTCAAGTGGCAATTGTGTGGTGACAAATTCTTCCCTGGAGCAGCTCCATGGACCCCTTTTCATGCTGGTGTCCTTTTCTGAGCAAAGTAGTCTTTTGGTCTTTGTGTGAGTTAAAACTGAAAGGTCTGTTACTCTGGATAGCTTTGGTTGAAGGCCTATGAGGTGTGCCAAGCTAGTATTCCTCCACTGAGAATATTTTTTTTGGGTTTGGGGGCATTGCATCCTCCAGCAAAACATTTTTTTGACCACATGGTGCCCTGGGAATTTTTGGCACCCTCATCCACTTGATTGAAAACTATTATTATTATTATTATTATTATTATTATTATTATTATTATTACAGCCCATTTCATCACTTTGCTGCACAATTTGCTTGTGTGATTTAATCCATGCCATAGGTATAAGGCAATACATTTCCATGCATGGATCTGATTGCAATCACTTAAATTCACTCACATGCACACCCTTGAACAAGTAGTGTAAATGCTCTCTCTATCTCTCTCCATATATACAGTATATATATGACAGAGAGAAAGAGAGAGAGAGAGAATACATTAGCACAAAGCTGGCCATGCAGGTCAGTATTGCCAGCTTTGCAAGTGAAGATAGGATCACAGAATTGTAGAGTTGGATGGGACCAGCATTGCAGGAAACCTTTTGTCCAGTGTGGGGCTCGAACCCGTGACCCTGAGATTAAGAGGCTCGCGCTTTACCAACTGAGCTATCCCAGAGGCAATATTAGTATCATTGGTGTCAATGGTTGAGTAGACAGCCTGGGTGCCCTTCCACGCCGCCGCCCCAAAACCACTCCCTAATGCTTCAGGCAGTTTCCTGCACTGCTTGCCATAAATCCAGCCCTTTCATTTTGGAATCAGAAAATCACACTGAAAACAAAAATGGTCTGGATGGCATGCCCTGGAAAACCACTGGGAACAAGTGCAGAGCACAGGGAATCCTGCATTCTGAAGTCAATAGGCTGCAGGCCTGATCAGTTGATGGGTTGGGTTAACACTGTGAGCCTCTGGGAAGCTCTGTAATGGAAGAATGGGATATAAGTAATCTAGTCAATAAATAGATAAATAAGAGGAAGAAGAGTGCAATGAAGATAGCATTGGCAAAAATTGTTGTCATTGTTTAGTCGTTTAGTCGTGTCTGACACTTCGTGACCCCATGGACCTGAGCATGCCAGGCACTCCTGTCTTCCACTGCCTCCCGCAGTTTGGTCAAACTCATGCTGGTAGCTTCGACAACACTGTCCAACCATCTCATCCTCTGTCGTCCCCTTCTCCTTGTGCCCTCCATCTTTCCCAACATCAGGGTCTTTTCCAGGGAGTCTTCTCTTCTCATGAGGTGGCCAAAGTATTGGAGCCTCAGCTTCAGGATCTGTCCTTCCAGTGAGCACTCAGGACTGATTTCCTTAAGAATGGTTATGTTTGATCTTCTTGCAGTCCATGGGACTCTCAAGAGTCTCCTCCAGCAACATAATTCAAAAGCATCAATTCTTCGGCGATCAGCCTTCTATTGGCAAAAATAGGGGAGTGTTAAATCTGAGTGTTACTTTACACTCATCACAATTTTATATTTTTAAGTGAATTTCCAAATTTGAATCTTGGAACCAAAATTCAGATTTCAGCAGAAAAACTCAGAAGCACTTGGTTGCTGAAACATGACCTGCCAGTTGTAAGTGCCCTTAATTTCAAAAGCCGTTGAGGTGTTGAGTTTGTAGGCTTAAATATAGGCAACCTCGTTTACCACATAACGCTAGTATTTCTCCCCATGCTTTACTGAAGAGGAGGAAGAAAATCACTCACCCTCTGACCTCCAGTTGCCATTCCTGCCCACACAGGTTCAAACAAACATCCATGGTTAGCTGCCTACATACCCAATGCCCTTTCCTTGCTGCCTGTCTCACACTGATATAATCTTTTCAACACTACTAGATTGTAGGTGTATTAATAAGCAGGTCTCCACCAGAAAATTATTTTTTTCTATATAAGAGTGTGGGTTTATTCATCACTAGCTTGGAGCTCAACTCACACATCTACTGTGCCCCTTGGCATGAACACCTGCTCTTCTTTCTAAATCATCAGGTTCGTGGCAACAGTACATTCCGGAGGATTTCTCTCTCTCACTCTGCTTGATGAAGGTAAATCTTTTTTTTCCCCATTTCCCAGTAGTGCAATGCTTTTCTCACTCTGATCACCGCCAAAGGCATCGCTGAACAGAATCAAATCAATAAGTTCATCCTCTGACATTGGAAGAAAACAACACCACTAGTTTGGAGTTGCACATAGAGTTGAAAGTGCTCCAAAATCAGTTTAGACTTTGGATTTCCCTACCCAAACCACCCACACCCACAAGCTTGCCACATTTTCCAACCTTCTTCTGAGGGTGACTGAGGGTGCAATCGTATATGGAAGATCTTCCAGCTGAGAGAGCTATGGGATTTGGTGGAGCATATACTCAGCCAGTCCATTGGTATGTCACAGAAATTCTACTCAATCTTGATCCAGAGCAGAACTCCAATGTATAGTTAGCAAAGTAAAAACTTAAACACGTTGCAGGATTCCCCAAAAATAGACCAGAGGCAATTAATATCTCATCCAGCAGAGCTTCACTGCTACTGAAGGCAGATGAGCATAATGGTCACAAATCCAATACATTCAGGATTGGCACTGTCCATAAGAAGTCCAGTTGCAGCAGTCTTAACTTAAACTTACAATAACTTATAATAAACCTTAATACCATATACAGAATACCACACCAGAAGGACAAGAGATAGAAAGAGAAAGAGTGAAACCCAGGCTCCTTCTGGCCTTACTTTTATAATCAGCATGACCTTGACAGATGAGATAAGAGAACCAGTTTAAGTCAGCTGTCCTCAGCTTCTCTGAAGGAATAACCCAAACACCATGAACCTTCTGCTTGTTTCTTTCACACAGAGAAGCTTACAGAACCCTCTTGAATGAATTAGAATAGGAAAGATCTCTACACATCAGATCAATACTTTCTGTGCTAAGAAATGCAAACTGACTCGGTATTACCTGGTCTGATGGTTTTGGCGAGGGTTTAAGGTAGGAAGCTTTCCCCAAACCCCACCTGGAAACACGTGTGATTGAACCTGGGGCTTTCTGCATGCTGGCCTGATGTTCCACCATTGAGCTGTGGTCCTTTTGCACCAGAATAATTCCTCCAATATGTTAGCTGAATGGTGTGCTAGCAGAGCTATTCCACTGGTGAAGATAAGCCAGCAGAATGACTGGCCCATCCTCCAGCTCAGAGAGAATAGACATCAGAACAGGAGAAAAGAGCCTGCAGGATCAAGCCTGTGGCACATCTAGTCTGGTATCCTGCTATCACAGTGGCCAGGCAGATGCCTGGGAAAAACCCGCAAGCAGGACCTGGGCACAAGAGCCCTCTCCCATCCTATGATTTCCAGAAATTGGTGTTCAGAAGCCTCCAAATTGTAGGAATGTTCAGGGAGGCAGGAGAGGATATATTGTTTATTTTTATTTTTTTAAATCATTTTTATTGATTTTCCAATAAAAAACATCCAATTAAATATCCAATCATAATGCTTCAATTAAAAATAAAAAACTAAAATAAAAAAGATCAAATTATAGTCCAAATTGTATTTATTAATTTCTTGGGGCTCCCCACGGACTGGATCACTGGAGCATATCTCCTCATCTTGATTCTACATCTCCTGGATATATTGTTTATTAATATCCTTCCTAACTTGCACTAGCAGAGTTTCACATTCACATTCCCCTTTTAAATGCACAGCAGATAGCTGGTTGCAGGCTTGTGTAAGCCTCTCACTATTAGTTCCTGATAAGTTCCCGTGAATCCCTCTTAAAAGAATAAAGATGCTACAATCTTATTGAAAGTCAATAAAAGAAGTTTACTTACATCAGGCAGAGCACAGTGTGATCCCTGAAGGCAGACTTAGATACAAAGTATACACATGTGGAGCTATGTGCTGGAAGCCAACAGAGTATCTCTAGCAAAAAGCTGCTCCAACTACAAAGGAAGTCAGAGAGAGAGTGCTGTGTGCCTTGTCCCTTTTGTTACCTGGACAGGTAAGGTCATGCCCACCTCTAGTCACATGCAAAGGAAGTTTGTCCCAGCCAGGAGGAAACAGGAAGTTTTTGATGGGCTGGACCAAACATTCCCTGCATGTCCACTCTAGGAAAACAAGGAATGTTGTACTTGACTGCTACTTACATATCACATCCCACACGAATGTGGAGTTGGAGCATAGCATTAAACAAGGATTAGACAAATTCATGGAGAACAAGGCTACCGGTATACCCACAATGGCTATATGTTCGACATCCACTACCAAAGGCATCAAGCCTCTGAATACGAGTTGCTAAGAATCACAAGTAGGGAGGTCAGTTGCTGTTTGTAGTCTTCCCATAGGAACCTAGTTGGCCACTGGGAGAACAGGATGCTGAAATAGACGGTCCACACCCCATAGTCACTTTTGACTGGACTTAACTGTCCAGAGGTCCTTTCCCTTATTTACCTTTTCATAGTGCCTTAAAAGTGCTGCAGGTAACTGCTACAATAATAATGATAATAATAATAATTCCATTTCTTATGGCACACCTTTCTTTATCATCTCTGTTGCCCTCCTCTGAATTCTTTCAAATTTAGCACGTTCTTTCCTGCGCTTGTGTGCTCACAGCTCCTTACAGATGTTAATTTAGTGGAAGATTATACAGGCCTCGAGCTGTTGGGAATGCCAACTGCCTTGTGACAAAGGGAGCGTTGTTTTGGAAGCTAAAACACTGTTTGTCACTGAAATTTTCCCCTGCAAGGGAGGAAATTCCCTGCAGTCGAGATGGCTTTTTAAGGCTCCAGGACGGTATGAGAACGTTTTGTCACAATATAGGTCTCCGAGTGCTTTTTGGCATTATCAATGGAGTTCACATTTCAGCTTTGTTTTGTTGCTGTGATTTTCCCTGTAGTTACTTTACACTTACCGCATCTCTAATTGAACACTTTCCAACATGTTTGCCGGCACTGTCTTCATGTTGTCAATAACAATGGATTGCCTTTGTAGGATTCTCTCTTTCCCCGGTCTTGTCTTGTTTTTCATTATAATTATTCTTCTGAAATTAAAAACACAAACAAATAAGAAGGCGCAACAGCCAGGGTATATTACAATATCTCCCTTAATAATTGGTATACAACAACCTTCCACAATGTGGTTCCCTGTGGATGTTGTTGGACCCCAACTCCCATAAAAGAATCATAGAATTGTAGAGTTGGAAGGGACCCCAAGAGTCATCTAGTCCAACCCTCTGCAATGCAGGAATCTCAGCTAAAGCATCCATGACAGATGGCCAGCCAACCTCTGCTTAAAATCCTCCAATGAAGGAGAGTCCACAACTTCCCAAGGGACTGCTAGGAATCTCTGTAGGTGAATGATGGCTATTGATCATTGCCATGAAAACCTGAACCTTTCTACATATGTGGTGGGAGTGCAAAGAGATAGTGGGATTTTGGGAAAATATCTATAACAAACTGAAAAAGATGCTTAAATTTTCACTTGGAAAAAAAACTCTGAATCCTTTCTCCTAGGTATCATGTCAGAGGAAATAAAAAGAACAGTCAGACCAATATTTATGTATGCAACTACAGCGGCAAGGTTATTGACTGCCAAAAATTGGAAAAGCAGCAGCGTCCCAACTAAAACAGACTATCTAAAATGATGGAATACTTC